TTATTTATAATCTGCTTTTCTCAGTGAGGCTCAGGGTGGATTAAACAATGTAAATCAATAGGACAATACATCTAATAAGCAATTTAATAGGACTATGTATTGCAGAAATTTGAAATGGAGCAGTCTGAACAAAGCATAAGTGTTAAACATAGCATGTCAATGCAGAACATGGTATTAAATCAGTAGAAATACAGTGCATTTTCCTGGGTCACTCTGTTATGATGTAGCCCTACGCCCTTTGTAGAAATGCCCTCCAAAACAATTCATTCGAACACAGCAAGGAAGCTAATAGCTCTAATAGCATCACTGCAACAAAACAAATGGCTGCACAAAATTGCAGAATGCGCACAAACTCCAGAAGGGCCTAGCTGGAGGTCAGGTTCAGTATGGAAATGTGTTTTCATTGCTAGGAGGTTTCTGCTCCAATACATTCCACGACAGTTATCAGTTGTCCCCTGCCAGAGAAAGGCACTCTCAGCCTTTTGGCCCCAGTCCCAGAAAGTGGTATTCCATGACCACAGGTCTACACTAGAGTACAGAATGCATATACCTTATAGAGTGGTCCAAGTCAGAGGAATGTCCTCAAGCTACATTGCTCTTGGCAGCCTACTTCCATAAGCCCATTTCATCACTGTAATTGAGGTACACAGATGTTAGGCTCCAAAATCTGTTGCAGGAGTCAGTTGGGGGCCTAGAACCAGGTCTCCCAAAGTATGCATTAATTAGGGCCTATTTTCAAATTCATTTTCAGGCTTGCTGGCAGAGAACACAGACTTTACCCAGTAAGTATAATCAGACTCCACACAAGTGAGCAATATTAGGGTGGGATTATGAAGTCTCATACCAAGTGGTGCCCTGTAGGCAGCTGAGCTAAAAGGGGGACCTGATCCAATGGTATGGAGATGTGGGTTATAATGGTTATATCACTGTACAAACTTGTCAACTTTAACCACTTTCTTTGTCAGGGACTTTGATAAGGTGTTGCTGTATGATCACCAGCAGAGATTATAAGCTTTAAAAACAATCAACAACATTCTGCGGGTGAAATTTGTGTTTGTTAGAAACAAGAATGCAAGAAGCAAATCCAAAATTCAGCAATGGCCATAGAAAAAAAGCAACTATATAAGACAACAGCAGTATGCTACATAAAGTTACAGAAAACTTATGAAGAGTGATTTCTCAGTGACATTTTCCCGACCTTGATAACACATTCAAACTACTAAACTGGTTTCTTAGGCAGCAGCAAAACTCCTCTGGAGTTAAAACTAGAACCGAACATACAATGCAGAATGCTATTCTGGAAGATACATACACTGTTAAAATACCTTGGATTATGCATAACAGCTATCTACCATAAAGACCTACCAGCCAGAGAGAGGGCATCATTTGGAACCTGCTTCATGAATTAGCACACCACACTAAATGCCTTAGAGCAGCATAACAACAAAATGCATGCATCATTTTTACTAGTGCACATCATCGCCTTTCAAAGCAGTCAGTGTTTCATTAGCAGCAATGTTTATATTGGAAAGGAGGCTATTGACAAACTGGCGTAACTCCTATTCAAGCAGCTCTGGGGCATTAGGAGGCACGTTAAAGCAAAACATTTTTAATGTCACTGGCAGTTTTTATATTGTGCATGTATAAGTGCTTAAGGAACTGCATCAGCAGATGGGGACTTGAAGCCTGTCCTTATAAAGCAGCTCATGCTATTGCCAACAAAAGCACAATGGAACTCCAAAGAGGAGCAGAGTACAGTGCCCTTGCCCTGCTAGTAACAGCAAAACAAACACACTCCTTCGAGGCCAAAGAGGGTTGATTCACCCAACCTTTGGGTGCTTTTCCCTCACTCGGCACACAGCTACTTGTCCTCTACAAATGGAGAACATACAAAGTCCCAAATCTGGCAACCTATTACACCAATATTTTGAAGAGTTTGCAGTGGCGTTCTAAGCCTGTCTGGAGCCCTCAGGTGATACCTTTGCCACCATCAGTTTATGATTTTATAGTTTAAAATGGAACTCATTTAGGGACCTACCAAGCACCAGAACATGTGACTCCTACTGCCAAATCATTCCCAGAGGTCACAGCTTGGATCCAAAGGTGTCACTACACCAGCACATCTGCAGCTCCTCTGGCATTCAGCATGTTTGTTTGCTGAGGGGAAATTTTTGCCAGTTTCTGCTTTCTGCTGCAGACTCCCAGATTTGTACCACATGCTGTTCCTTCAGGAGCCACAGGGGCACAACTCTGGAGATCAAAGGAGGCTGCCGAGAAAAGAGGGAAACAGCCTTCCTCTACTCTGACCCTGCTGGCACTGCTTAGAATCCAGACCCACCACTTGATACTCAACAGGGGTGGGGGAGGGCTGACTGTGATTACTAAATCACAAAGATTGACCCAATCCACAGGTTCCTTATTACTGATTTTATGAGGGTCCACCATCCTGTTGAAAATACATCCTAAGGCGGAGCCCTTTTAAAATTAAGGGTTTAATTTGAACAAGTCTTCAACACAGCTTCACAGAACAATTAGAGACATCTTTTCTTTCCTTCTCCGCTACTTGTAAAATGACAAACAGTTCTGGAAATACAGTTAGTAAAAGCTGATTTAGCTTATGTGTGAATAGCTTTGGGTCCATATTGTTTGCATAACAGTGATGCAACTACTGTGCAATATTAAGTATCAGTTCCATAATACAGGTAACAATGTAAACTGCAGTAGAAGATACAAGGAGAATCATAAGAATACTGACACCCAGAAATATGGAGTATCATTACGGCTTTTTTTACATCTCATTAAATTATTGCATAAATACATGTTTTCACCAATATTTATGTATCTGTTATAGTTCTGCCATTATAAATATAACATTTGTTATGTAATACAAGATATTGTAAATGGCTAATAATCTTGTTGTCAATTTTGATGTCTTCATTCTATATTTGAAACGGAGCTTTTGTGGGACTCCTCCTGGCAACAGACTTCCACAGAAAGAGCTTCTAGTGTCAAAGGAAGGTACAGAGAATGATTTGATTATAAGATCACTCTCCTTTCTGCCAAAAAAGGTAGACAGATACAGGCAGATACAGAAGCATGCGAACACTGCTGCTCATGCTAGTATACACACATTTAAACTGTTTGTAAGTCACAACATTGATAAGAGGGAGCAATACCCAAATCCATAGCCACTAGCTCAGAAAGGCTTTTGGAAAAAGACAGCAGCAAGTGCCATGTTACTACATTAGAAAAACATGTGCAAGGAGCCCAAAACTAGGACTACGGAGTCATGGAAGCTTCATCTACATAAGCTACAACTCACAGATTCCCTTCCTGCTAACGAAGCTCCAGGTTTTGAGGTTTGCCTGCATGGCCATAAGAACTTCCATAAGACAGTGACAGAATTCTATGCAAAAGACCAAATTTTTAAAAAGCAGGCTATGCCTTAGACTCTTTGTGCAGTTACAGCCAGAAAATGTCTCGTTTAGCTTATTATGAGCACACACCACATTGAACTGTATAAATTCCAACAGCAAATAAAACATGGTTTAAAGAAGAAATCCCTGCAAAAGATTAGTTATATTACACTTTTATTTTACAGTATTCAAAAGCTCTTACAGATACTATAACTAGAAGAGCTATAATACCGACCGAAAAACAAAAACAAAAGCATACCTACAAATTCAACACACAAATTTTAATACCTACTCGTAGTGAACCATTAATATCCAAAGTGGTGTATCGTTTAGTATGTGGATATGTGGCACTGCAAAACGCAAAGACAGATGTTAAACAAAAAAGGTAAACATTGCACCCATGGCTATACAATGGAGGGTCTTGCAAACACGTTTGGTACTGTAACATTCTAGACAGCAATATGCTTAGTAATACATGTTTAATGCAATACATGCCTTTGGAAGCCTGTATTCTGTGCGTGTAAACATCAAACTAGACTACTTAACGTTAAAAAAATAGAAACAAAATAATCTAATCTGAATGTAAGCTCTTTATCTCAAAAGGACACCAAATTTTGAGTGAAATTCTATTGTTGGTTGTGGTTGTTTTCTTGCATGCTTGTTAAAAATAACATGACAGTTTCTACAGACTAATCTCTGCTGATGTGCAAAGCATAGAACTTCAGGAGCCAATATTTGTCTCAATATAGACAAATTACCCATGTAGCCAAAATTGTATGGATTGTACCACAAAAAGAAGCATGATAAGGTCAGCAAGCTAAGGGTTTTCTAGAACACAGGAAGTCTCAGTAAGACCTACTTGTACGTTTTGCCTACCAGAACTTTACCTGTACTGTCCTTCGGGGAAACTTTGTAGAGACAAGATGTGAAGATCCAGGCGACTTTGAACTTTTATACTATCCACAGCACAAGAAGATGAAAGCTTCCGGTTCAGGCATTAGTTTGGTTTTGTCTGTCTAGACTAGGTTAGTGCACTTTCATGAACAGTTTCATCATCGACAAGATGCTCATCCTTCCTTGGACATCTTGCATTGGCTGGGTTTTAGTTCCACCACCAGCATTCCCATTGCCCCATAGGTCATGCCTGTGGTCACGAGACCATTACCCACCATTATAAAAAGCACCCTTCAAAGGCAACAGGATTTCCACCAAGCAATAGAAGTTAATGTTGGTGAAAGTGTATCAACAGTGGCACTGAGGCATGTTAGGCATGCCATCCCCCCCCCATTTAATTTTAAATTATCAGATTACCTAATTGAAAAACATTTTTAATCACTGAGTAAGGCCAACATCACACTTTCAGTCACAGACAAAATCTGCAGCAAGGCACCGCCTGAGTAGAATTACAACTTTTGAAAACAGACCTTTTTAACCAACTTAAACTACAATCCATGGTATCCAACCATATCTACAAAGTCACAATCATAATTCCAAGCATTTTCTTACAGCATATTTACTGTATATAGATACACAGAGATTTTCATCTGAATTCATTTTTACTGAGTTCAGATTGTATGAGTGGTTATAGGCTGAATTTTTTTTTTCTGAAACACATTTAAGGGCTATCAAGTTCAAGTCTGAAGCATTTCCATTGCAATGCAATAAGTAGAATATAAAAACAGTGGCTCTGAAAAACATTGAAAGAAAAGATAAATGGCAAACAAAGAGGGTTTTCTCCAGAGTGGTTTTCCAGAGGAAATACATAATCAGAAATAAGGCCAAAAAAAGGCGTTTCAATCCATGCAGACTTAGAACTAATAATTTCCTTGCAGTGCTGTCCTGAGATTTGTGTTGAATGGGCTCTCTGTGTGGCTTAGCAAGAATTTTAACTTAAAGCTTTTTACACTCAAAATGTTTGGTTAATAATGGACCCATATTAAAATATGAGGCAATAAAACATGGATGACAACAGTGACCGGGGAGGGAAAATGAACATCACCTCAGGCCTCCATCCTTCTGACTGGCCTGAAAGGCCCACTGTCCAATAAAATGTAAAACAGCATATGTTTGTGTAGTCTAAAATCTTTTTGTGGTAACTTATTGCAAATTGCACTTGGCAGTTCACCAGACCAAATGAAAACTGGCCCCGTGTTGGTTGGTGGAGTCCTTCAGCTTCAGTTCCAAGTCACCAGTAAAAGGACCTGGACAGAAAGTTTGCAGCTGTGCTCAGCCAGCTGGCGGCACCTTCCGGGTGTGATCCGACACGGGACACAGCTTTGTCCTGCTCTTTCGAAGGGCTTTCATCTTCTGGCAAATATTCCGGGAGGTCTGTATTCTGCTCCACTTCTACAGGAGTATCTTGGAATGGAATCAGCAACTGTTTAACGGGAATAGGAAGCAACAGTGTATTGCCTGGTTTGTAAAATCATGATTTTGGCCTTATGGCCAAAGCCTATCTGAGTATGCCATTCAAACAAAGCCTTTTTAAAGGATATTTGAACATGTTATAGAGTTCAACAATAGTAATGTAGAAATCCTATCCACCCTTACTTAGATGGTAGGCACATTTAACACAGCAGAACTTCTGAGCAGACATACATTTAATTTCATTTCATTTGTTCAGGCTATCATATAAAATGAAGCAAATGTACAGGTTTTTAAAATTAAATTACCAATTTTAACTTTTCAGTTCATGCCCCCAGCATTTGGAGCACGACAAATGCCTATGCTGTAGGGCTTTCTGGACCAAGGTCTAATTACCTGTGTAATTAAAGACACTGTCCCAGCAGTTACTAGATAATATAACTAATTCAGAAGACTGCATACTCTTCTACCAACAGATGCTTAGCACAGAGCAATTAAGGCACAATATATTTTGTATCTTGGTTCCCTGAAGCCAACAGTACAGTTTTTCTATCCCTGTTTTGGAATATCCAGTTTTAAAATGCTAAACCTATGCTGAGCATTGTTTAGAAGCCTTTAAGCTTGCCACATACAACTGGCATGGAAACCCAAGTGCAAGGACTTCCTGGGAGATTATCTGTGTCTGCAAGTTCACATCACTACTTCATTACATAGTGGCACTGCATTTCCTGGGTTCACAGATGGGTGAAGCCCCTCTGCATGGAATATCTTGCATGCAGCCACTGAATTTATGTATTCCTTGATGACTGCTTTTATTTTATTGTCACTTCTACCAACAGCATGCTCTTAACCTCCAGTGGTAGTTAGGTATCGTTTTATTGTATATGGCCATAAGCCTTCACAATATCAAAACACTCTCAGAAAGTTTATACATTAGCATATGATAGAGTGTTTCAACCTCTAGTATAACATATAAAACACCTGTTTAAATTATCTCGACCTATGGTCTTTAAAACCGAGACCTTTTAAAATCACTCACTTGGTTGCAATGGTACTATATGATTTATTTGCTCTAATTTTTCTAGCGGCCAAGGCAAAGACAGCCAGTCTTGAAGAAATGAAGGGGTACTCATCTGAGAGCAAAAAGGCCATCTTTTCATAATCAGACAGGGGGTATAGAGTTGTCAATATCTTTGCTAAAAATTTGGCCCTGGGTTCTACATATAAAGGACAGACCACAATGTAGTGGGGAAAGTCTTCCACTGACTGCCCACATATACAGATATGCTGGTCTACTGGAGTTTTTTATAGCGACCAGCTAGCATCTCTGAAGGCATCGTGTGAAAACGCACTGAAGTAAGGGATCTCCTAAGATTATACAAGGTTATGTTGTTTACGTAAGAGGCTACTGAGTGGTCCTTTTTGATTATTTTAAACCATGGAGCGAACCTCGATTGGGCAGTCAATGTGGCATCTATTAGTGCATCCTCTAAACATCCACTCACGTAGGTTAATACTGTACCCTGTATGTTGAAGCAGGTCATATGGAATAGTATATCTAGTGATGATACAATTAAGAAATTCAGGGCTGGCATTGTCTTTGTCATTCAGTAGATGTAACTAAGTTTGCTGAATGCATCTGGACTTTTTAGCTGGATTTCCCCCCAAGATTTTAGAATCATCAAATGAGCTTGCACCTTCACTGATGGAAGTCCCAGTTTGGCTCGTAACTGGGCAGCCAGTGTTCCTTTTGGAAGTGCCAAGATCCGTCTCATAAATAGGTTTTGAGTCATTTATAACCTAAGGAGTAAATGACCTTTCCATTCCCATATCCTGATGCCATACAATAATTACGAAATAATTACACACTGGGTCTATGAGAAAACCTCCTCTGGAGTAGTAGATTCTCAATACAACTCCCATCGTCTTATGGGCTAAAGCTTTAGTGGATTCTATATGGCTATCCCATTTAAGGGTTTCACTAAAGGTTAAGCCCAGATATTTCTAAGATTGGCATTGCTCTATTGGGACTCCCTGTATGCTCTATTGGAACATTCTTGGCCTCTTTTGGAAAAGCATTACTTTAGATTTCCCATAGTTAACAGTGAGGTTCTCCTCCTTACAATAGTCGCCAAAACAGTTCAGAAGCCTCTTCAAACCCATCCTAATTAAAGAAATCATTACCATGTCGTCAGTACAATAAGATTGATATTTTATGCTGTCCCAAAGAGGGTGCGATAAATTCTGGGCCTGACAGTCTCTGGACTATATTGTTGATATATAAATTAAAAAGTAGGGGGGGCTAAAATGCATCCTTGCTTCACTCCCTTACCTACAGGTATTTTGCTCATTAAAGAGCCCAAAATACCTACTTTGATTTTAGCCACTGTATCTGCATACAGCTCCCAGATCAGAAATAGTAATCTCCTGTCAATATTTGTCTTCGCGAGCTTCTCCCACAAACGGGTCCTATCGATAGAATTGAAAGCCGTGGCCAAATCAACAAAAACCACATCCATGGCTTTAGTTGGACCATTCATGCTGGTATGAGCCAGCTAACCTCCAGTGGGTCTCTCACCTCTTCTCCACTTTCATCTTTCACAACTTGCTGGGCTTTCATAACTTTGGTTGACGCTATTGCCGTTGCCAGCGCCTGCATAGAAAAAAAAGAGAAGCAGAAAGTAAAAGCAGGGTCCCAGCACCCGACAAAGTGAAAGCCAGCCACTGGTACCCACTCACCTCTGCTTTTAAGTCTGATCTGATTCGGACTACACATCTTTGAACTGCCATTTGAAAAGTAAAGCTGATAACCCCTTTAATTTTCAACAAGGCCTCTTCACACAGGTTTCGCCGAGACTAAACATTAAGACACACAAATAATTGGAAAGATCACTTTGTATGCAAGACAGCACACAAGCAGAAAGGCATTTTTTTAAAAAAAGTAAACAAAATAGCTCTCTTTTTTTTTTAAGACATCATTTCTGCTTACATTCTGAAGAGAAACCATGAAGGAATCAACTGTGAATAATGAGGGGAAAGTGCTGAAAAGCAAAGACTGCCTTTCTCCGTATGATCAGCTAAACAGTCCCCTGTGGTTAAGTTCTGACTGACTCAAATGCTCATTGATGAGCAGTTAGTGTTTAAGTTGCTATTTATCAGACACCTTGTATCCATACTGACTGAATGCATCAAAGCAGCTGTTGTATCCTTTAGCTACCTCATCTGTGGCAGCTCACGGGCATCACCACACTGCACGGACTGAACTCTGATTTCAAAGGAAATGTCTGCTCACAAAAACACCCACCGATGTTATGCTTAAAGCAAGCGACAGTGCCTACTGTGCAACAACGCTGCATTGACCCACGCTAGCTTGTACCTGCTCAGCATTACCCCGGCATGACTCTAATGTGTTTACAGTGTTTAAAAAGGCAGCAACATAGCAATAAGTTGCCTCTGAGAGCTGGCACAATGACAGCATGGCATTAACCACAGCCAGGGCTTCTGTGTTATGCAGCATCAGCATGTCATGGCAAATCTGAAACACGTCACACTAGAGTTCAGGGGCAGCAAATCCTATTGTTTTGGAGATGTGGTTACTTCCCTGGTCTCTGAGGTCATTCACCGGTCAGTTTCTGCCTGAATCCTGAATCCTATGCACCTCTCCATACTCAGGTTAGTGACCAAGCCTGTGTTTTCATAAGAAGAGGCAGAGGTGACCCAAGACCTTTCCCTCAACCAACCTCAAATTGATCATGTTATTAAGTCTAACTACGGGATGGGATTAAGACTGAGCTGGCAATTGACACCAATTCCCCACTGCTGCTGCAAGACCCTCCCACCCATGTCATTCCTCAAACAGGACTTCCTAAACGTTCAGAAAAAGAAAGTAGCAGATTCTAACACAAGTCTGCTTACATGTAATGTGCATATCTGAATATGAAGTGGAAGTTGGCATTTGCGATCGTGCCTGACCTTTGCCCTGATGAGCAAATGAAAGTGTTTTGCAGGTCACACAGCAAAAAGCCGTACTGTCCGTTGAAGTACACTGCCAAGTATGCGGAAAGCTCTCAAAGGGAGTTAATTCAAATGCAAAGCAGTTCCACTATTATTACTGTGAAACACAAAATAAGACATTCAATTACTGTATTCTACTTTCTTTTGTCTGTATTAGCTTATAGCATAATGCCTAAAAGTGCCTGCACTTGAAACTCAAAGTGATTCATGAACATTTTCTACTTGTGCTTGAGCTCTGGTGCCACGAGAAATAAGAAAAAAGACACTTGCAGTATGTCAGATTTGGTGTATCCCCACTTGCATGTCCACTTGTGCAAGACCTCACAAAACCAATTTTGGGGCACTATAATACAGACGGTGCAGAACATTAGGTGTTGCACAAGTGGAACAACACTAAGTTCATTTATGATCCTGCCACTGTATGTTGCTCCCCTTAGCAGTTTAAAGAAATGCAAGGGCTAGCATGAATCGTTCTTCAGCACCAGGAAAAGAGATGCTATTTCCACTGGTGAAAAGGGAAGGGAAAAATCGCCTCTGACTATCAAAAAGGCTATGGCAGGAATCATGGGACCAGCATGAACAAAGGGGATGTGCAACAGAGGCCTGAATAAGGAGGAGGAATTAGGGGGAATTGAGTGAAGCCTGGCTGCATCCAACTCAGTGCGTTTTCCCTCCACTTTCTTGCCAAAGTTTATTTGTATGCTCTCTCTCTCTCTCTGAATTAATTGTGGGTTTTCACGTCTTCCTTTACGTTAGCAACTAGAAACAAGCATCTTTACCATGACACATGAAGGAATGAAACTGCAAGGCTTGGCATTAGCTCTGTTCAGGAAAGTATACAGACTGCATTTAGATGTGCTGACCTCAGACCATTCACAGTGTAATGTGTACTTAAACTGGCAGACAAAAAAGAAACGGGCAGCATTTTTCTAGCTTTTAGAAGAGCTTTAGAGACAGTGATGGGCAAACAAATGAGTTACCAGGTCAGGAAACAATCAGTTCCAATAGCTTGTCCCTTGTTAAAACTAGGTTAAGAAAGAGGGGTAATGGGGGGGAAATTATAGGCAATTGAAGAGGGGTGCACATTATGCATCCAATTAACAACAGCCAACTACACTGAAAAAGACTAGATCTATACAGACCGGACTCTAACTGGCTTACTTGGCAAAAAATGTAAGCCACAGCAGATCAGGTTAGATCATTTAAAATGGCTACAAAACAGAAAATGCAGAGACCTCCGGGCATGTGTGGAGAGCATGCTCCAACGGCCTTACATGCTGCTTGGCAGCCATAAAAAGGCAAACATGGCCCTGGGGTGTTATCTACAGGGGAATAGAGGCTACATTTTAGAAGTTATTCTGACATTGCATAAAGACTCCACAGAGACCTCATTATCACAACGGTAAGCCAATAGCCAAAGAAATCTCAGACAATGAGACAAGATGTCACAGAGAGAGAGAGAGAGAGAGAGAGAGAGAGAGAGAGAGAGAGAGAGAGAGATGGCCAGCTAAGGAAACTCAGCATTTCCTTAGAACTGAACTGCAAGAAGAGAATGATTCTGAACACCTTTTATTTGTAATAGGAAAAGAGTAATTTCTGGTTTGATCACTTGGCTATAGCTAAATAACTATGTCAGCTCCAATATGGAATACTCTAAGTGCCAAAACCAAAAGTGAAATGAAATTGACAATGAATATGACAATCCCAGGCATGTTTACTTGAAAACCCCTCCAAGATCAGAACAGTTTACTGTCAGGTAAGCCTGAACAGGAGGGTATCCTCAAACATATTTATGGTCTTTCTGAAGTAAGCCTCCTGGGACAATGTACATTACATATCATAATTTATAAAAAACCCTTCTATGCATTTCTAAAATAGAAAAACTTGTAACACAATCTTTAATTTCATTATATTCACTGGCTTGGATCGCACCTAGATTTTCATGGATACAAGGAGGGAGGCAATTGTCACCAATTCTTCCCTCCCGTGGCAGTCAAAATACTGCTCTTGGAGGATAGGGCACAGCTTAAGTAGAAAATTGGAGGTCTCATGTGGTGAGGATTGGCAAAAAATCACCTCCCTTTGTGTCCATGGAAATCTAATAGGCTTCTCAGTAATTTACTTGAGACATGCAAATTGAAAACATGCAAAATAAAAAGTAATTCCTCTCCAGTGTAAGTAGCAAGTAAAAAATACTGGAGAATTCCTTACCGAATCATCAAGACCATCTATGTGCAAAACAACAGTTTTAGCACGCTTATTTGTACTTCCCAGGAAAAACTGAGCTTTCCGGCGGCGAGAATTCATCTCATTGACATTGTCCATGTCTGACACGCTGGAAGATTGAAGAATATCATAGATTTCTGAAGCCAACAGTTTAGTCTCCCCTGGTGTTGTGGTCCTAAAGTAAAGCAAATTGAAAATTATATGGATTTACCTTTCCAGCTCTTTTTTCCAAAGACAGGTGAAAATGCATGAAGCCATCATAAAGTGTTATTCAGAAGTTTCTAACAGAAGTGTTGCTTATGAGATGAAATGAGGAATGAAAGCTAGAACTAAGGTAATTTTATAAATTTATCTGATATTTGCTGAATAGAAAAGTGATAGCAGCGTATTTCATTTTATGCAGAGATTTCTCTCACACACTAGATACATTTGATTCTGTAATAGAGAGCATCTAAAATGCCAGGAAAGGAAAACCAGGTAGAGGAGCTTATATATGAACAAGTAGGGGACCCACAGGGACTTGCAGGGAACATCTCATTTTCCTCTCCCTCACTATTTTTTCATTCCCTTTCCTGAAAGCCCACACAGTCTCTTCCCTTGTTCTGCTTCCTTCTCTCATTCCCACCCACCAGCCAACCTAGCATTATCTGACGCCCTGTCCTAAACTTTCTCTCCCCCAACAGCCTCCCCTGGGAAAGCTCTGCACAGTTCCAGCCGCTAGATGGTGGGGAACTTGCAAATACTTGCAGGGGGCACCTCACTTTCCCCTGTACCTCCTCCCCACATTATTTCTTCTTTTCCTCCTCCTGGCAATGCCCTCACCTTCTCATGCTTCCTTTTTTCCCTTCCCACCCATGCACCTTTATTAGCTCCTCATCTTCAGCTATATTTATTTCATTTATACCCCATCTTTCTCCACAACAGGGACCCAAAACATTCTCCTTTCCTCCAGTTTATCCTCAAAATGAACTTTGTGAGGTATGTTTAGCTTATGAACGTATGACTACTCAAGGTCACTCTGAGCTTCCGTGGCAGAATGGGGATTCAAACCTGGGTCACCCAGATCCTAGCCTGAAACTCTAACCACTATACCACACTGGCTTCCTTGGGATGGCTTGCTGTTAAGGAGCAGCAAGCAGGCAGGCCTGGGTCAGTCATGCAATTTGCATGGAAGTAAGTTGTCCAGTTGGTGCTGCTGAGCCTTGTGCTTATGTCCTCCCCCAAAGGCCAAAACAGCCCTGAAAAGGGCCCTCCCCCATCCTCCTGGCTTTTACTGACAGAAAGCAAGGCTGGGAGGCTGGCAGTAATGGCCACTGATGGCATTCGTTTTTTAAAGCTACAGACACTGCTTCTATCATACTGGGGGTTTTAACCCCCCACCCATGTTTTTTAAATTTTCATATTTTTCTGCAAACCCAGGGTTTTTGATAAGATCTGTCTCATCTGTCCATGGCTTCAGTCGACCTCTTAGATGTATTGATATTAAACACCTCTGAGTCAAGATGGGGGAGCTGGAGGGCTTAGCACTAGACAAGAACATGTGGCCACTTCAGAAGCTGGTGGAAAGGGAGGCAGGGAAATCAATAGGGTATAGTTGTCCCTAGATATAAACTCTAAGAAAGGATTACAAGGGATGTATGTCAATGGGGGCAGTAAGTCAAGTAATCATTACAGGTGGAGATACCAAGCCCAAAAGTTAGCTGTGGCTGTACCATCATTAACCCAGCCAGAACTCTTAGGATAACCTGAGTGAAAAAGGAATTAATGAGGTGATCAAGGCAAAAATATTTGACTAATGGACAACTTTAAGTACCCTTATATTGACTGGGTAAATTCTAGTCATGACAAAGACAACATTTCTAGATCTCACAACTAATTGTGCTTTGCAACAGTTAGTTATGGACCAACTGTAGGCTGGATGCTGAGTGTTGATCTGAACCTGGTGGGAGACATAAGTGTTTTTCAACCAGTTGGGAACAGCAACCACAGCAATATATGTAAACAGAAAGTTGTCCAAAAGGTCTAATGTGGCCGCATTTAATTTAAGAATTAGTCAAAAGAACGTTGAAAACAAGTGTAAAGAGGAACAAATGTCTTCTGGGTGCTTGGAAGCTCTTTAAATCTACAATAACTGAAGCTCAGATAGAATGCCCAGAATAGGTTAGGAGAAGTACTATCAAAACTAAGATGGCCCTAAAATAGTTAACCAGTGAAGTCAAGAAACCATAAAAAGACAAGAAGATGTCCTTCAAAAAGTATAAGTCTTGCCTTGAAAGGTAAAGAGATTGAGGCAAAGCAAGCTTAAAACAAACATTTGAGAAGTATACGGCTTAAAACACAAAGAGTGTTTGAAATTCTAGAACAGAAACAAACATTACACTAAGAACACAAGAACAGCCCTGCTGGATCAGACCAATGACCCATCTAGTCCAGAATCCTCTTCCTGCACTGGCTGACCAGAAGGCTCACAGCACAGGAACAGGAACAAAAGCTTTCGCCTGGGGGCTGCCATTCCAGTCCCAGAGCAGGTCTCTCTAAATCTGCTCCCTATTTTTTATGCAACTTTTGTTTGCTGTAATGTATTTCAATGGAGTCCACGCAAGTCAATTATCATTCCTGGCTCCCATTATATCCAACGGTTCTTCAGGCATCTCTCATTCCCAATGGGCATTCTTGTCATTTATTTTAGTACATCCTGTCCACCTCTCTATTATCCAGGTCTCTCTATCCAGCCATATTAGAACAAAAGGGCTCTTGCCCCCTTCCCAAGGAGGGAGGGGGAAAGAACTGCCACTCTGTGGTTTGTCTCCAAAGGTAATTGGCTAGAAGTGCTCTGTGCTCCTTCCTTGCAAGGGAAAAATGCCACTGCTCAAGAAGTCTGTAGAATCAAGGAAGAACATGAGCACCGCTGCCTGCTAGCAGTTCTGAAGTCAAAAATAACATGGATTTTTAAGGGAGAATAGTTTTGGATCACTAAGAATCTTGGATGCTGTCCTAGAATATCATAGCAATGGCCCAAAACAGCAATTTCTGTACATATATTTGGCTTGAGTATTTTGTTATGCACATCCCTATTATTGCTTCCCAATGCAGCATTGCACAAGTGAATTGTGTTGCATTAAGAACCACCCTTTAGTTTGTCTAGAATCTGCTGCCCATTGATTCTACTGGATACTCCTGATTTCTAAGGAGAGGAAGAAAAGTTATTCTATCTACTTTATCTACACCATAAATAACTTTATATTCATCATGTTTCCCCTTAGTCATCTTTCCCCTCCCCCAAACCAAAAAGCTTTGAACATAAAGGTCTTTCCTTGTAGAAGTTCCAGCCCCTTGATTATTGTAGTCACCCCTTTCAAGCTCTATAGCCTGATACTCATTCATGGACTGGTAAGCCACCTGTGGCTCTCCTGAGCACTGTTTCCCATGGCACCTGCCCCATTTTCCAGGAAAGTGGCTGGTTTTTTAGAAACTGGAATGATTTCAACATTACTATAGGCCCAAGATAAAACCATTTCATTTTTAAAACACAGCACAACTTGTCCATGATGATTATATCCAAGATTTTACTGATGTATGGGTTCAGTACATTAGGCTGGGACAACATATACGGCTGAGGTGGTGGAATAGGGATATTACTGTTCAATGGTAACTGTGATGATTTCTTGTGTTAAGAGTGTGTGTGTCTCTTTAAAGGTTTGGTTGCAGTGCAGAATGCAGAGTTGTTGTTGTTGTTCAGTCACACAGTCAAGTCCGACTCTTCGCGACCCCATGGACAAGATCTTGCCAGGCCCTCCTGTCTTTCGCCGTCCTCTGAAGTTTGCTCAATTTCATGTGCGTTGCATCGATGACACTGTCTAACCATCTCATCCTTTGCCGTCCCCGTCTTCTTTGACCTTCAATCTTTCCCAGCATCAGGGTCTTCTCCAGTGAGTGCTCCCTTCTCATTGGGTGGCCAAAGTATTTGAGCTTCAGTTTCATTATCTGGTCTTCCAGGGAACAGTCAGGGTTGATTTCTTTTAGGATTGACTGATTTGATTGTCTTGCAGTCCAAGGGACTCTCAAGAGTCTTCTCCAGCACCATAGTTCAAAAGAATCTATTCTTCGGCCCTCGGCCTTCCTTATAGTCCAACTCTCGCAGCCATACATGACTACTGGGAATACCATTGCTTTGACCATGCGGACTTTTGTTGGCAGGGTGATGTCTCTACTTTTTATCATGCTGTTTAGGTTCACCATCGCTTTCCTCCCAAGGAGCAGGCATCTTTTAATTTCATGGCTGCTGTCACAGTCTGCGGTGATCTGGGATCCCAGGAACGTGAAGTCTGTCACTACTTCCCCGACTTCCCCTTCTATTATGTTGAGCTTCAAGCCCACTTTTGCACTCTCCTCTTTTACTCTGAGCAATCTCTGACAATACTGTTGTTAGAGAATGAACTTGATATTTTGATTTATGAACTATATTTATTGCTACACACAATGGACTGTGCAGACACACCCACATAGGCTCAAAGAACTGTACACTTTAAGTCACCTGTTGTGATGTAACACATAGAAAATGCCTGCACAAGCCTTACACGTAAATAAGGTTTCAGCTACACAGTTACCAGCCTGGTGAAGAAGCACACACCTCCATTATTGTGAGCAGTAAGAAACAACAGCTTGAGAAGAGACAGCCCCCATTGCTGAATCATTTGTGGTCACGTACGACATATCACTGCTTTGTTCCTGCTTTGGTATTTCCTGCCCATTCTAGAACATATGATTTGCTCCTTACACTTTGAATCTTGTGGTCTGTTGAAGTTGCTGAAATCAGGTTCCACTCACACAGCCGGCAAACTGAACGCATCTTTCAAATACCTAGAATGGGTGTCTTTGCAAAGGCTGTTTGGAATATGTTATGACTATCAAGTTACACTGAATACATGGACAATGTCTTATCTTCAAAGTAGGAAATATTGTATCTTATGCCTTAATATAGTCCAGTATGCATAAATGTTGTTGTTTTGACACCACCAACTTTATAATTATTTAATATATTGTTTTGGCAATCTTTGATGGTGTTTTCTACTAGTGGAATTTGTATATTTGGGACTGCCTTATAGCTAAGCAGAAGGAAATAAACATGGCTCACCTCCCTCTATTTTCCCCTTCCCTCCGCTGCCCTACCAGCCA